CATACATAGATAGATAGATAGATACATACATACATACATACATACATACATACATTACATTACATTACATTACATTACATTACATTACATTACCATACATACATACATACATACATACATACATATATATATATATCATTGGGTTATTCGATATCTAACCGGGTTGTAGTATGGTTGTTGCCCACTTACCAATTGTGATACGCCCCCAAGTACTGGTACAGGATATGCTTCTATACCCAAAAATTGCCACCATACAGGGAAACAGTGAGGTTTCATAACATTGGAGTTGCGATCTCCTATTTTTCAGACAAACCCGAAGTAGCCGATCAACTTGCAGGTGGCATAACTCTTCAAAGTGGATTCAACGTTACCCCGTCGTGACCTTTTCCCAGAACTGCTAAAAAAAAAACAGCGCAACTTGTTCTGTCCTCTTCAGTGACTTCATTGAGCCTCCAAGCTCCCTGCTTCGCCTTGCGCAGAAAAATCTGCGCCAACTCTTGGGTGGAAAAATCTTGGAAGGTGAAGGTGTGCTGTATCCGCCTCTTAAGACCATCATTCGCCTCCAGGAATGTCTCCATCCTGCGCGACATTCGGCCGTGGAACATTCGGCGTAATGGGAAAATCCCCAAGATGTGATGGGTTCAAGTTACATGGGACCAGGGATGGCCATCCCACCATTATTGAGAATGCTTGTACTGGCCATGTTCATCCCTTTTTCATCCTTTTTCCGTGTTTATCCATGGTGATATGATCATTTCCTAACATAGGATTTACCCAACTCTTGACCATGGCACATACGGTTTTATTTTAGTATGTTTTCCCCTCATACTATGGATTGGATTTTTCCACCAAGTTAGAGAAGGAAATCATGGAGCCTAATGGGGGATGCCTCGAATCGCTGGATAGACTTTTTTCTGGGTGCCCTTGGGAATCGCTGGAGAGGCTTGTTGTGGGTAGCCAGTCCTATCTGGGTAGCCTGCGAAAACAATCACAGGATCGCCTCTCTCCATGACGCTCATGATTTCTTCCAAAGCGTTTTTCCCAAAGTCTACGTCGGAAGCTCCACGCTCTACCTTGATTTGCGGGTCTAGATCTCCGATCTCCGGATAATGAGTCGCAGGTCCAACATGCAACTAGAGTTTCAACCCATATGTTGGGGTGTAAAGATGTTAAAGTCACTCACTACATGACCAATAGAAATTGCTATTTTTTGGTGAGGTCACTAAAAGAGCAACTTGCTAGACAGATGGATAGAAAATTGGAAAGGGTATGCCATAGCACGAATAGCCCTTGCAAGACACGAGGAAATGTTTAGTAGCAAAACATGGAGTTCCACTCTTGTCTAGATGCTTTTGGCCTCAAAGTAATTCTGCTCAAGCGGCGATACAGCTCGATCAAGAATGCGCATGTACGATCAGATACGGTCGCAACCAATCTTGGACGGTCATCTAAACATTGGGGACCCCGTGTCACGCCTTCAACACCCCTGAACAAGGCAGCAATGAAAAGAAAGCGAGGAGTCCGAGAACTCAAAAAGTTCTATGAATTCATCGAAGAAAGCACTACAAAACTACAAGAAAGCAGTATATAAAAAAATGTGTTCCAGAAAGAAAAGGAATAACAATGAGGAAGCGGCAGCAGGAGCAGCAGCACCTAGCACCGCGAACAGAGCCGACCATTTCTTCTTGGACCATGGGTGAGAGATCCACGACGCTGAGCCATCAAAAATGGCATTGTTTCCCATGGAATAGTGGTTCCTTCAGAGATATCCCCGGTATAGCTGCATAGCCTATATCCACAATAAACCAGATAGTTCGACCCACCATATTAATGGCTCAACTAACCAGCCAACAATGCAAGTTGCAAGTTGATAGGCCTCGTCCACAAACAAGACCCCACCCATCGCTTCACGAATTTTGCATTTCGTCTTGTGCTCCGTCCTCGGTCAGGCCAAGCTTTGCACATGCAAAGGGCATCTGGGGTAAGAATCACGTCATCTTCAGTGTCAAACTTGGTGAGTTGTAACTTTCTGATGGTATAACCCCTACCGCTGGGGATCCCATGGATACAGTATCAATCCCGGAGAACACAACAAGTGGAAAGCTTCACAGCTTATCAACCTTCTTAAGCTTCACAATCATTACAATCAATAATATATATATATATATGTATACATATAGTTACATACATAATGTATACGCGGTACGTACATAAATATTGGTCTAGGAGACGATCTTGAGGTGGTCTAGTTGCTAGTGATGCCAAGTCTCAACCCAATATATTGTCCAACCAAATCGCCACGTTGCACTTCTACGAGACGGTTGTTTGGGATGAGGCCCAGGTGATACAAGATGCTTGCCTCGGAGTGCCAGGAACTGGGAAAATATTATCCTCCAGTAAATTAACATGACAACCCTGGCAAATAGGGTTTGTAAGATTAGTTTCAACTAAAAGTTAGTGATTTTCAGGGTCCATCTTAATTTACCAGAGGGTAAATATGAATCTGAGGACCCCTCTAAAGCTAGGAGGCTCCAAAGGCTGCTGAAAACAGCAGGGTACCCAGCATTGACACACTGGCGGGGAAAACAGGAATGCTACAGTAGCAGTACGAACATCTGTGGAGAACATGACTGATGACAACGGCCCAAGGGGTCGTAGCATCCTGCAGAGTTAAAATGCAACCTGCCAAGAGAACTCCAGCTAGCTGATGCTAACTCGGGTGATATTGGCCAGCTACGCAAGAACCAACAATCCATTCTGGCATTCCCAAGATGTGCAAATCTGCCCATACTTTCCTTTTGCTTTTCTTTCCACCTGACCCCGAATCCGCGCCAAGTTGCGTAGATGCGTGCGGCGGTGGTTTTCCCTGTTCCAGGTTTGCCCTTCAACAGAACATGCCCAGGCCGATGCCTCTGCCTACCATTCCCTGCTTGAGACCGCAACCTGTTCTGGTGCTCGAGCAAGGCACCGTCGCGAATCATCTGTTTGAACTCTGCCTCGCATCACGTGTCAGAGGCAGCTGAGATTTTTTCCGATGGAAAAACATCCAAGATATCCAAGTGTTTGATCACCTTTCTGTTGAAAATAGTTTGAGACCAAGACTCGAAAATAGTTTGACACCTTCTGTGACCTCTTTCAACGCGATCTGTCATGGGTGAGAAATTCTTTGGGGACTTCTCTCCTTTGGTCTCTTTGTTTGGATGCATGTTCGTTGTCTGCAATGTGTTGTTTGCAGCATTTTGGAGCTGGAACCTCTCAGTTTGTTGTTTCAACACTGTTTTGCCGCTGGAACCTGCCATTTGGAAAGCGAAAATTGCAACCTGCTTTAGCTGAAACACTTTGCGGTGCATCTGTATAGCATTTCGAAAACATAACCTCTTTGTTGGCAGGATATTTTTCAATTGCTGTGCTCATGATACAAGACCCAAGATGTTTCCATGGTAGTACACACTCCGTTCCCTGCGTTCTGGGGGTGCGAGTCCTGGTCCTGGTCTGCTGAAACTGGGACCTATAGTGTCGTTTGTATTGCGATTAAGATTGCTTATTGCATAAGATCGCCTAAGCTGAGCTTTTGACTAAGCCAAAATATCTTTAGAAAATGGAGTCTGTGTGTTTTGAAGTAAGAGAGTTACAGATTTGTGTTGGCCTCCCCTTTGTCATGAAAGCAAAAGGAGTTCTTCGGCTGTCACTTTTGCGAGTCTAGTAATTTCGTTGCGGTCCTTGCCGTGCTCATAATTCAGCCATTGAACAATACCCAACTGTTGCTTGCTTGTTTTGGGGGGTTGTTAACCTACCTGGTTGATTTGGGATTATAGCTATCACATGCTATCACCCATCATGGGAATCCGTATCAACCAAACACTATGACGAGATGGGTACCCACCTGACCCGTGATGCTCGCCAGCATTTCCTCAGCTTCACATCCTTGCGCGCTAGTTGGCACGATTGCACACAGGGTATCTTTTTAAAGAAACTGTAATCTGATTCAAAATTGTGAGCTACCACCGATCCAGGGCAGTGCCTTGAAGAAATGAATTGATTGATACTCTTGATGTTTCGAATCCTATAACTAGACTTGTCCAATGCAGTGCAGTGCGGCCTGTCTGACTAACACAGGTCCCACGGCCTTCTTTGCGGAAGATCATTCTGGGTATTCTGCTAAGATATTTTGAAGATCGTCAAAACAAGGATGGACATTCCGTTGAGATCGCTTGAATAGATGCAAGCTGGGTATCTAGAAGAATAGCTCAAGGACTTTCATAGCCCATCTTCGATAAATAATCCTTGTGCCAACATCTGTTTTTCTGGTTCGACTATTCCTCCATTGATTTCAGGACAAATTGAAGCAGTGTTTCACCCGATTCACCCGCGGACTCGGTCCTAGCAGGAGCTCACGAGAAGGAACCCCGGAGTCCAGCATGATGATCTCGTGCTTGTCTTCTCTACGCTGCATCACAACCTCACATTCGATTGCTGGACTGAGATGGAACATGTTTTTTTCATGATCTTTCATGCCTTTAGAATCGTGATTTTTCTGTAACATGGTAACATCTACCAGGGATATCAAGGAGATATGCAAAAAGCATACCTTCCTGGTGGTCAAAAACTCCATTTATCGACTGCATTGCCAGGGAACATGCCATGGAGAACGCTTTTTTATGCCCCGCAACTGAGGATCATTGTAACCCAGAAATTGGCATACCTACTTACGGTCCAACCATGCACAACCAATTTTATATGTGATGGTTTAAGGTGTGATTTTTATGAGAAAATATGAGAAAACCTCAAAACGATCATGTGGTTTAGAAAACCGTGCTGCTCATGAAAGTGGCGAAAAAAAAAATGGTATATGTATATATATATATATATAACCCAGTATCAGACATACATACGCCCAGCGAGTTTAACACTGGATCAAGGACTGTTGGTTTGAAAGGGTCAAACAAAACTAATGTGGCTGGGAAACTCTAGTTGTAGCTCCTTGGCTCCCCGTTGAAAAGGGAATATTGATAAAGTATGATAAAGTGATAAACCCAATGCCATAAACCATTCCATTAACAAACCATTTGGGTCATTTTAAATCGTCCCAACAATAATAAATCTCTATTTGGGATTGTTTATTAGTGGCTTTACCACATTACAACCATATTTCCCAACAGCTCCCTCATTAGGGCTCTGAGCAGCTCCCTCCGTTCACCACTGGATGAGGCTCAGCAACCTGGTAGCGCTGCTTGAACATGGAAGGCAACGCTGCCGAGACGGCACATCCGACAGCCACGCCAGCTGCACCAGCCACATTGCCACAGGCAACACTCCCAAGACGTGTGGCCCAAATTCCACTCGCTTCGGCGCTCATGATACCTCTGCAGTGATCATGGCTGAAATCAGCCATGTGTTTGTTGGTGGAAGGGCCCACAGGTACCAAAAATTGATCTCGAGGACTACTTGGGCTAGTTGACTCCTCAACTAGGGAGATTAACTATCCTTTGGCTCCAAACAGCTCTGCCAATAGAGTTGTTTTGGTGAGCCATCCCCAACTGGGTCTGCAAAGTATCGCATCCAAATGGCCATTTGATGTGACAAATTATGATAAACATGATAAACCATCATAATTTGAGGATCCCCCATTTTCAGACAAACCCATCTGAAAATCTCAATTTCGGTGGACCAAGAAACTGCGAAGGCCGTGGGTAAGGCCACGGATGATCAATGGCCTGCACTGCCAAACTAGGCCGCCAGCCACTGCGCCAGCAGCGCCGCCAACATACCTGTGGAATTCTGGGTTCAAACTACTCAGAAGATGTGGCACAGGACAAATGAGTTTAGTGGCTGTTACTTCAATTTTCTGGACCCCTCAACAAATGCTGACCCGGCACCCTAGCCACCCACCACTGATGGGCCAAGTCGCGCATGCCACGCCTTCTGCAGTGCCACGCTGCCGCTGGTCTGCAAGATGTCTACCTTGTGAGCTGCAAATATGCGCATGACGTCCCTCGCAGCAGAGGGTGGGAAAACCAGAGCCTTCTCATCCCAACCCCCTTCGCGTAGCATTTCATGGACTCGCTGCATGAAACGATCGCGAGTGCAGGGGGTGTGTCCTGGAATCAAGAGCTGTTGAGGGGTACCAGGGTTTGTTGAGGCCATATCATCGATGATTGAAGCCGTTTCAAGGACCCAACATGGAGCTGGGCATCTTCAGTCCCAAGTGGAAGGATAGTATGACAAGTCTACTTCTCAATTTCGTGTGTCCTGCTGGGCCAAAAATTGCAAAATGGGTTCCATCGGTTTCATTGGCAGAAGGATCACGGTCTTGCCCTGGAGTGACTCGCGGAGGGTTTCGGAGTCTCAGCATCAGATCTCCAGGCTGTTCGCGAGCATGCTCTTGCAAGTGGCCCTCATCCACAACAAGGCTAGGACCATTCTTGGACTCAGAGCGAAACCTGAAGGAGCGGAACCTGAAGGCCATTGTTTATCCAAACAGTAAATGGCCGTGTTTATCCTGATCCAACGCTTGTGATGTCCACCCCTTGAAAATCATCATCCCTTTTCTAAGGTTGAAACCACCAACAAGCCACGGGTCTTGATTTTCCCAACATGTCCATTGATTTTGGATTCACAAGTGCGGCGTTTCGGACATGCCTGGCTCGGAAAGTACATGTAGAACTGGCAGATTCCAAATTGCCGTGTTGTTCAACCACTCAACCATGATTAGTACTTATTAGTAATGCGGCTCTCACTTCGCTACAATGGTATATCAATGTATATCATAAATCATATATTGTGTTGTTAAATTATTGTATGACTGTAAAGAAAAGAAGAGAAGTGGGTGCGCATCTTCGACAGATACTGTATTGCATAAATAGAAACCAGATTGAATCACCGCCAGGCATTGTTTTCAATCATTCTTCTCCAGGATGGAAACATGTCTATGTGACTATGTGTTCATTCTATGAAGAGTGTCACGGACAAATCCTTTGAAAACAAACTGGTTCCAAAACAAAATTTATCCTTGAGGTCTTGCATACAGTTCAATCCTTTAGAAAAAAGTCCCACCGTCCGAGGTTGTAAACTGAAAAAAATGGAACCATTTTGTCGACAGATTAGCCAATGAAACAACATGAAACAACCAAGTACCAATGCAATCAGTGCCCCTCAATTGAAAATAATTGAAATAAATAAAGAAAGAAACACACAAAGAAAGAAAAAGAAGAAAAACATGAGAAATGGAGAACAGGAAAACATGAACGGCACGGCATGACCAAAAATCACTGACCTTGATGCCGGACGAGAGAAAAACCCTGGCGGATAATCCACTACTGGAATGGTACCACCCCAAGAAAAAACGGCTGAGGGGGTTGCAAATCCGGGGATAACATTAGGCTAGGTAAAATTGACTTAAATCCTTCTTCAGATGCAAGATTCTTAACATCCTTTCTCTAATGTTTGTTTGGAACTGGCTACCCATCCAACGTTCAGAGAAGAGAAGAGTTTGAAACATCCACGTGGGGGTTTCTTAAAATGGAGGATCCCCAAAATCATTGGTTTCAAGACTAAAATGGTGTGCCCCTATTTGAGGAGACTTCCATGTCCCAGAAACATCATGCGCTCGCCGGACGTGCCCTTCGCACGCGCTGCTTCCTGCTCCAGGGTCGATAAGGATGGAGCCCGACCAGCACAGAAAGGCAAAGTAGCGAGGCACCGTTCACCTTCATAGTCGAAGACCTCAGTTTTCTGCGGTCCTTTCATTCGAAACATGGTAAACCGCAAAGTATAAATGTCTTTTCTAAACCCTTAGATTCCATGTTGCGAATTGCCTGCTTTCATCTCTGTCCAGTGAAGTCATGGGCCCCATTGAAGCGCACAGCTTTTGGGCCAACTTACCACTGACACTGTCCATCCAAAAATTCTTTGCCAGTCTGGGATGGCTTACATTTTTTCAGCTGTTTCAGCACCAAAAACCGACGTTTTCAGCAAGGCACCTTGACCACCCGCCGCGCTTCCCGCTGGAATTCACGCAGCATGTGGAAAACACAATTTCACCAGGCCGCTGTCAGAGATCAGGCTGCGGGGAGAAAGATCGGTGATCGATCTGACGGGTCCTTCCAATCCGTTCCAATCTTAGTGGATCTCAAAGTCTTTCAATATCCTTTCTATAATATACACATGAGTCAGAATTGTAACTTGTGGAATCTTGTGAATGGTTTACGATCCTAACGATTACCCTTTTCCAGCGGTGGTTTCCGAGTCTTCAATTTTGACAACCCACATCTTTGATCGTCAACTGTACTTCCGATGTCGAACAGGGAAATGCCCAATCCACAAAAATGCATTTCCCAGTCCCATGCCCCGATCATAGTAGATAATGTCAACCCCGGATTTTGCTTAACCATGGTTTATGACAATTAGGGGGGTACTCCGGTACTCCTCCAATAGTCATTTCAGCCGAAAATGGGGTTTATTCATCCAGGGTTGACATTACCCCCAACAAGGGACCTCAATTCATGAATGATCTAAAACTTTCCACCAGGCGTTTCGTTTGAGGGGGCCAGCTAACCCCCAGGATTTTTTGGATCTGAGTAAAAGTAACCGAACACTTATGATTCGCATGGAAAGTCAAGGGCTAGTCAACTTGTCGTTCTCGTGGCTAACCTTATCTTGAGGTTATATATAAACAAATAAATTTGTAAATGACAAACAAATAACAACAGCGATAACGGTAACAATAACACTTAAAAATACTGATAATAATAATAATAATAAAGTAGCATAGCAAATGAATGTTCCCCCATAAAAATGCCAAACATGGCCATCCAAACCAAATCAGTCTCGACCCAGGTAGAAGCAAGCTAGGATTCGCGGTTTGGCCATCAGGCGACGGTATCCTTCACTTGGTGGTTCATCCCAGTTCTTCAATAGTTGAGAAGCCATGTTAGAAAGAGGGTAAGTAGATGTAAGTGGCGTGAGTAGGGTTAATCCAGCAATGGCTATTAACCAGTAGGGCAAGTAGGGTTAGTCTCAGCCAGTAAATAGTGCATAACCCAAGTTGATATAAGTAGAGTAGGGTTAGTCTGGATGTGGTAAGTTACAACAACCCCTCCCAGCTGGGATGGACCACTAAGCACATCTTTGGACATCTTTTCTCTGCGACATCTTCCACTGGTGATGAACTCTTGGAACTTGCGCTGGCATCGAGTTGCCACAACACCTGAGACCTGGTTACCGTGCCTTCGGAATCCACCATTTTCTCCTTAGAAATTGACATAAATCTGACATGTCTGAGAGGTAAACCCAGAAATATGCTATCTCTCCCTATATTATTACATCCCCATTGTACCCATACTTCACGTGTCATATCTGTTCATCGCATATTTCCCATATTCTTAGGAAATGTTTTGTTATTCCATTTGCCCAAACTGATCATCTTCCCTGTCGGAATGAATATTTGGATAGAAGTCAAAACCATTCAAATCAAAATAGTTGATATAGCTGGATGTCCCCCAAAATTGATGCTATTTCATAGGTTTTGAGCCATCCTCGTGTAAAACAAATCATGTTCATAGGTTGTCCCATCCATTTCCCACATCTATGTCTTGCAAATTGTCATGCAAATTCTCATAGTTTGACTTTTGCCATATTTTTTTTCCGTAAAATAGTCTGGTTGGTGGTATACCAACCCCTCTGAAAAATCATGGAGTGAGTAACAGTTGGGATGACTATTCCCAATGTTCCAGTCACCACCAAGCAGTTATATATGGTTATAGTGATTATTGGGATGACTATTTTCAAAATATTGGTGGTGACTATTCCCAAATGTTCCAAACCAACCAGTAGTTTCTTTTCCCCTATGTTTTCCCAAATTCTCAGAGTTTTCTCGTGGATTTCCGCCATTGCTACGCCGCCGTGGCATCCGGCCCCGGCGCCGGAGGCCCCGGCGCCACCGACGGCGCCGGCGCCGCCGCGGCGCGCGGCAGGCGCCGCGCTTGGCTCACGGGGCGCACCACGTCCAGCTCCGCGTGCTGACGGCGGCCTTCCTGGGAATAATTGGAGGATGGGCATATATTCCATGGAAATAGTGGTTGTAATACCAATAATAGTGATTATATATATGGTTATATGATGAGATTGTATATAGTAACATATCTGGTTGGTGGTATACCTACCCCTCTGAAACTATGGTTTATAGGTGATATATCTATCAATATATATATATATTCTTTATAGAAACAATAAGAATAAGAAACATATAGTAATAGATCATCTATAATATTGGAATATTGGGAAACAACATTTATTGGGATCTATAACAGAGGGGTTGGTATACCACCAACTACTGTATATCTTATTGGAATAGTGATCCCAACAACAAGAATATATAATCCACAACACATTTATTGGGATCATTTATTGGGATTATCCATTGTTAACCATCATTAACCATTATTACCTGGTTGGTGGTATACCTACCCCTCTGAAAAATATTAAAGTCAGTTGGGATTTTTATTCCCAACAGATGGAAAAATAAAAAACAAATCCAAACCACCAACCAAATCATATAAAGGATATAGTTGGAAGATTCTGGAGGATATTAGTATTATTACATATATCTAAAATAGTATCATGCATAGTATCTATATTGTATATCTAGATATTTAATTTATCTATGTAGTATACACAATCTATCTATGTAGCATATTATATCATACATATCATACTATTATCTAATGTATCTATATAGTATATTGTCATGATTTTCAATGATGGAATATATCTATAGTGTAAAGGAATTTATGGCATATTATATGATACTGGGTAATAACCATGGTATATGCCATATATATATACGAACATCTCACACATTTCCCATGGATTGTATATGGGTGATGTTCACCATTTACACCAACGTTAGTAAAGCAATAATAAACCACTCATATATTGGCGGTGTTTAATGAACCCGCATACCCATGGTCAGCACGATGGCAAGAATAGTGGGATTGCTGAAGAAAAAAAGCTGGTATATACCCATGAAATACCTATAATATATATATATATATTATTGTATTGTATTGTATTGTATTATATTATATTATATTATTTCATATTATACTATATTACATTATATTATGTTATATTGTATTATATATAATATATATTATAGAGATTTTGTTGTTCTGTCATATTGTTTTAGATGGCAATGCTTCAAATTTGCTCCAAGTTTCCAGGGTCGCTTGGATCCTCACAAACTCATTTGGATCTTGCACCTAGAGCCGCAGCATTTTTTTGCCACGCTGATGATCACCTAGTCCTGTTATAGTTATAGGTATGTTTTCACCTCAGTGATATTGGTAGTTATACCTATAACTATAACTATAACATAGTGATATACCATGTGATTACCATAGTTATACCTATAGTTATAACTATACGATAGTGATTATCATAGTATTATCATGGCTATAACCTGTCATCCCATGTATGATGTATCATTAGTTAATATTGGTAGTACATGGTAGTACATGGTTATAACTATGATGATCACCAGTAAGTTGCATAATAAGTGTACCAATATTTAAGGTGAATACCATGGTAAAATAGAACCAATAATGGTGATCAACCATAACTATGATTATCACCCATATTTAAGTTTTTTCTAAGTATCTAACCATACTTATGCACCATATAACTATCATTAATAACCATGTTCCTTAAGTCTTAAGATATGGGGCATTCCTAGGGAGCACCTCCGGATGTTAAGTCGTCGCACCTCGGGCTGGGGATCAACATGCTATTTTTATGGTTTTCCTCATGAAATATGAGGGTGTCCTGTTCTTTTTTAATGGTGATTAATGATGATTAATGATGAATAATGGTGATTAATGCCAATGGATTGGTTTGTTTGGGAAAATCTTCACCGGAAACTATGGTTTTTTACATGTTTTTTATCATCAAAGATGGGAATTTATGGGGGTTCCTGTAAATGTTCCCATCATCCAATTCTGTGATTTAAGTAGATGAAGTCCTATGAATGGATTGATGTTCCCATTCCCCAATATTGCGAATGGTAATCCAACACTTGACCATGGTACTTCTGGAAAGTTCACCCAAATATTGGGAATGATAAGGAAAACATTGGGATAATAAGCAAGACTAGTGGATGATACGCGAAAACATAGCAACAATATGAAAACAAATACTGTAGAATTTAGATAAAGTCAGTCCTGAAATAGTGATAAATCCAGCCTGTTCTATTTTTTGGAGATCTCTATCTGTTAAGGAACAATGATACAACTAGCCATCCAAAAAGGGATGTAAAACCAACCATGCTACGGGGCCAATTCTCTCTAGGGCTTATTGGTGGTTAGGAGCGACCAGTTGCCCCTGGTTGAATGCCATCGATTTCATGTTGAGGCCCGAAGCTTGCAGGGCTTCAGGGCTGTTTGAGATTCACACCAGAAATGGGGATGGAGAACACAGACATGATGGGAAAAAATGCTTGATTAGATTCTGAAATGGAGACCTCTGCGTTAAAAAAAAAACTTTTAGATGGTTTTGTAATATAAAGGAGATTGGAAAATCAAACCACGGTTTACCCAGAAAACATCTTCTGCGAATTTCCATCCCAAAACATCCCACCGAATTTCTTCTGAACTCTGACTGGACAAACATCTCCCACTCACAAAGGGGTTCTTCCCGTGCCAGAGTGACGGCCTTAAGCTCACTATTTTTGGTTCTGAGACACATTTACACCCGGATCACTAGGGGTGCCCATTTAGAAAAATCCTGCACATGAAATGTTACTTGCAAGAAAACGATGCCATTAATCTGGGTAAATTATAATATGTCACTAACCTCTTGCGGCCATTTGGAAATGATTTCCCTATATTGCGCACGGGCTCTGAGTCTGAGGGGCGGCTATGCGCAGCCCCGTCAGTCCAAACGAGAAATCTCTGCTTGTCCAGAGCTCCACAATAGGATACACTAGGCGGTGGCAAGCACTTCGAACGCGGCAACCAATAGGTATTGCCTGCCGGCTTCCGTGCAAACCGCAGCACATTAACTACCGGCTCGGCTCCTTGTCAGCCTCATCAACTACTGAAAGAAACAAAAGACATGCATGTCTTGAGCACTTGCGCCCAAAGACCTTAAGCATGAAAACAAACAAATCAAAAAGGAGGAAAACGGCAGCCGGGACCACCTCCGGGCTCAAGTAGTCAGTGTCCCAACCATGTCCGGGCAGCGTGCAAGCTGCGATATCCAGTGTGCCAAATAGCTGTTGACTTGCTCCAAACATTTCGCCGCTCCCATCTTCAAAAAATTCGCGTCATCTTGAAGCAGCTGAAAGCGAAGCAACTGTCTTGAAACCTGACTTGCAGGGCATCGCAGAACCGACACGCCAACCGGCTTTGCCAAAGTATGACCTGTTGATTCCGTGCCTGAGTTGCACCTGCAGTAACTTGTGCCGGCGCTGGAGCAATCTCTTTGGCATCTTGAATCTCCAACAAGGCCTTGGCAAAGTCGTCCACAAGTCTTGCATAAGCACCTGGCTTCAGAACCGAAATATCAACGACAGAGATCTGGCGCGAAGTGTCCCCACAGGCGCTTGGGAAAGCAGAAAGAACCTGCCCGTTGCATCCAGACCCTTCGCGATGGTTATGTCCGAGCACGACATCTTCACACAGCATGTTTGAGCCCCTGAGAGCGTAGGAAAACATTTCGAAAGGGAAGACAAGGGGATACTTGGAGCATCCAACCAATTGCAATCGGTGTAGCCCACCGCCCAAGAAGAAAGATCGACATGGCATACCAACTTCCCAAACATCTGCCGACACGGTGCACCACTGGTAGGATTTGGGCCGACACTAATGATTTCCCTATAAAAACCATGATTCCCAGCGCTCGGTCGCAGTGAGATTGTTATAATTTACCCAGATGAATGGCTTTTTATAGGCCCATGATTGTTGTTTTTAGCACCCACATGTGATGTGAGGCCTTCCGCCTTGAAGGTCGACCCAACCTATGATGGACCTATAGCCATTTTTTCGCATGTCATTCGAGTACTGCTCGGCTCAGAACGGGATTCCAGTAGGATTATGATCCCCAGGATATTGGATAGATTTGGATAGTATACCCTCTGGTAAACGTTCCGAAAAACGATGGAAAATATTGGAAAATCACCATGCTATTAATGACTAAATATGGGTAGTCATCCACTATTTCGACTGGGCCATTTTCTATGTCGCAAAGTGTTGGTGTACCAGGCCGGGTAACCTCCGAACTAATCATCAACCAGCAGGGCTTTGGCAACTGCTCCACACACAAAAAATCTCCAACTGCGCCTGTTTCGAATGTTTCTCCAGCAACGTGAGTACCTATCTTCCGGTCCAAAAAACGGTGATATTCATGGGATATATCTGGGTAAATTATAATATTTCACTAACCTGAATTAAGACCATTTGGGGATGATTTCCCTACAAAAACCATGATTCCAGTGAGGGAGAACAGTGAGGTCGTGATGAAATTTACCCAGATAAATTCACTGACCTGAAAATAGCTGCTGTTCATCATACGGCCATTACTGGGGATGATGAATTTCTTACTAGGTCATTCTTCATCCAGATACGTACAACTGGGGGTGCGATTGGGGTGAGAAAAATGGGGATCTATCTATGGTAAGTTCACCTCCATAAGATTGGATATAGATATATACCCTCTGGTAAACTAACATAAGTATGGAAAATCACCATTTTTAATGGGTAAATCAACTATTTCTATGGCAATGTTCAATAGCAAACTGGTTGTTTACCAGGCCGGGTAAACCACTAAAATACGTGGAACTGCACCCCCAACGGATGGTTTTTTCATGCTGAACTCCGCGAAAAATTGGAGAATCATCCATCCCGAACAGATCGAAATTCAGTCCTCCATTCTTTGGGGGAAACAAATGGGAAATACCTGTGGCTTAATTTTTTAACAGGTGGTTTGTAGCTGGGAAAATGAAGCAACGTTTTTTTTGGGGGGAAGCCAAACAGTCAATCATGGCTAGTTTGAAAAATCCGAATGATCAGGTTTGGCATGGATTCTTCTGAAAAGGATGCCCTATCGAGAGACGTATGTAATGTCACCGGTATATTATATTCCGTTAAATCCCTATTATATCCCCATGATGGTTCATATATATCAAAAATTCCAGTACATTCCCATAGAGGGGATATAAGTGGATATCACAGATATTCTGACAGAAATGGGGAATCATGTATATCGCTAAAATATATATATATATTATGATTCTCCATTTCAGGAAATCTCACCGTGAAATCTCCATCATATTATATTATATATATATATATATATTCATTATATCCCATTTATAGTTGATTTACCCATGTAATGGCATATAATGGAATAGTATACATGGGTAAATACTAATGGAATTTATTCAATAGTTGATTTACCCATTTACCCATTAATATCATTAGTATACTAATGGAGAATCATTAGTATACTAATGATATACCCTCTGGTAATTTAACATAGCTATTGAAAATGACCATTTTTAATGGGTAAATCCACTATTTCTATGGTCATTTTCAATAGCTTTTTGTATGTTTACCAGAGGGTAATTGGGATATCATGGGATATACAATCTCAAATTGATCATGACGGCACCCTGCTTTCTTGTTAGTGAACTAATGATATATCTCCATCATTTTTCCGAAAAAAACTGAAACTCACCGTGAATTTCCATGCAGCGCCTGCAGCGCCCGTTCTTCCTCCAACTTCGCCAAGTGCTTGGCCACGGCCTCCAACCGAAGCTCCTGCGACGGGAAGAAACTCCCCGGGAATCCGTGGAAAAACCTCTGGAAAACCCTTGGAAAAACAGGGAAAAGCCTGGAAAACCTTGGAAAATCCTTGGAAAAACTGAGAAAAGCCTCAAAAAACCTGAAACATCCTGCAAAAACACTGGTTTTTCATGGTTTTTCACTGTACGAAAAGTGGTTTTAACCATAGTTTAACCAGGCATGACTTTCGGGACAAGCCGAAAATCCCGTTCAAAACCTGGGTCAGATTTCGGGCGAGATGCTCTGGCTTCTCATATAAGAAAACCTACAGGATGGTGCACCCCAATGATGTTAGTTGGTTTATAAACATCAACATCAATTTAAAAAAAATCCATGAATACTAATACTAGTTCTATCATAAACCCAATCGAATTCAGCCACGTTTTCTGTTCGGCAACTTCAGCTATCGACTGCAACCCCCATCCTGAAGAGTTTCAACAGGTTTCTGTCGGATCCAGTGGATCAATAAAAACCCCCCGTGCAACAGAGAACCACCAGTACCCGGCCTGGTAAACGTTTACAGTTTGCTATTGAAAATCACCATTTTATAGCTGGGAAAATCCACGATTTCGACTCGGCCATGGCTTCAAGTTCGCAAACTGTTAGTTCGTTTACCAGAGGGTAGCCACCCGTGGGCCCTCCCCCGTCATTCTGCAGTTTGCCGCTCTTATTCAGCTGCGCGATTTTATCCGCCAAGGAGCGCCTAAACGCCGAAACACCGAAACGCCGCGGTTAGAGATGGGGATTGGGGACCTGGAGATTTCCATCGACAAAGTCGTCGTTTCTCTCCAAAAATGCTGATAAAAATGTTGGAAAAATGGAGTTCAACGGATTTTTACTCTAGAAAAATGAAGGGACATACCGAAAAATCAACAGAAATCTGATAACTAAAGGAACCCAAATCTGATCTCGGGAATTATTCATACACTTGACAAAATGGATGTGCTTTGAACAAACTATTCCGGAACTGAAAAATAGAATTCACAAAAATCAGAGTCATGTCCAGCAAGAATGGAGTCTTCATTTTGTTTGACATCTTCAATGATAATGAACCCTATGCAGAGTTGAGTTTGAGAAAATTCTTGAAACAGGAGTGTAAATACCACTGGAGAATGCACATGTTTGCAGTTGTTTCTGCTACGGTAATCTCCACTTTCAGGATTGCAAATACCCTCTGGTAAACTAACATAGCTCTTGAAAATGGCCATAGAAATAGTGAGTTTTCCCATTAAAAATGGTGGATCTTTGATCTTTCGATAGTTTTTTGTAACGTTTACCAGAGGGTAACATGCACAAATGTATGTTTGAAGAAAATATGCCAGACTCGTCCACAGAAAGGATCTGCTTTTGAAGAAAAAACACGTCCACAGAAACACGTTCAACATCCTCGTGGGCGGCGTTGCCCCAAATCGCCCTCAAAGTCTCTGCTGGTTGAGTCTGCCAAAACCGTGCCAGTCCAAGAAATGGGGAATCCGAAGAATTACCCTCTGGTTATGTCAAAATAGCTATTGAAAATGGCCATTTATAGTGGATTTTCGCATTAAAAATGGTGATTTTCCATAGTTATGTTAGTTTACCAGAGGGTATCTCATTATGGAAAACCACCATGCTATCAATGGGTAGTCATCCACTATTTCTATCACCATTTTCTATGTCGCAAACTGTAAGAAATTACCAGGCCGGGTACTGCTGGTCAAAATATCCCCAGGTTACATTCCCATGATAGCAGCCCAATTTTGCTGGTATTTTGCCGATCTTCTTCATTGGTTGGTCATATATCATATATCCATCACCATTATATCACTAATCTATACTAATCTATGGCGTAAATCCCTATGTTTGACAGTAAAATCCACAGTTTTGATGCTAACTCAAATGTGTATATAATTGTATATATAATACCCCAAAGAATTGCATTGTTAAAAAAATACGAAAGTCACTATGTTTTGATAGCTAAAATTAAATTTGGATGTCCCACTGTTCAGTGTTAAACCCAAAGCATATTGCCTGTTAAAATATCCCCAACTTATATTCCCATGATATTCCCCATTCTATTCCCATCATATTCCCTATTCCCCATTATATCTGGCTGACTTTCAATATTTGTTCCTAATCTGACAATAGCTGTTATCATGCGGCCATTTGAGGATTCCCCATATATAAACCATCGTTCCAGTGATGTCACGGTGCCGTCATGATCAATTTGAGATTGTATATCCCATGATATCCCAATTACCCTCTGGTAAACTAACATAGCTATTGAAAATCACCATTTTTAATGGGAAAATCCACTATAAATGGCCATTTTCAATAGCTATGTTAGTTTACCACAGGGTATGCACAAAATCCCTAGCATTGTTGGTTAAACCTCCAGTTTGCTTTCTGAAATCACCAAAAAAATATTCTCTAATCCCCCAGATGTCCTAGCTACATCACCATTCATCCGCATGATTCCACCTTTAAATCACCATGAAATCACCATTTTCATGATAGAAAATGATAGAAATATAAGTGATATTACATGGGGACTATAAACCAATGGTTTAAATCATGGGAATCCATCACCATTGAATCCCAATATTCATATAAACATATATAAACCATCATTTTCATCTGATCATCGGATTCTAAAAAAACCATTCATCCCCATTAAATCACCATTAAATCACCATGTTCATGGTAGTCCCCATTGGATTCCCAATATAGAAATCATTTCCCATCGAAAAAAACCGTTGAGACCCCCATCGGTCCCCACCTGATTGCTACTTGGACCTGTTGCGCCTTGGCTGCGCCGTAGAGCGGGGGGTCCTGCGACGGTAAGTCCTCGGCGAGAGATCGGGTTGGGGGTTTCATGGGAGGGATCAGTCGTGAACATGGTTGTTTCAATACTGGGATGGTCATGGTGTATATCATGAGATTGATATAATGGGATAGTTAGGTTCAATTGTTTGGGATATTTTTCATGATACACCCGGCCTGGTAATTTGTAACA